AACGAGATTGTGTTGATATCTAATAATATGAGTGTCCAAAGTGGAGGAAAAATTGAGAAAATACGCCCGCTGAATCCAAGTACATTTTAGGTCACTATAAGAGTTTTGTGACTCAAACGATTTGTTGAGCCCCCTGCATTGAACCTCCCTTTTTCGAATGAGCCCTTATTCAGCTCAAAATCTTCTCATATAAGGACGAATAACCGAGCATTCCCAAAGACGAGCTCCGCCATTATCTGGATACTACAGAGCAAGTCACGTGAAAAATTTAGTTCAGCTAGTAATTATAAGATGGCGACAAACTAGAACGTCACTAGAACTGTGCTGCGAAGGCAAGCGGAAAAGGCAACAACGCCCGAACGCTGAGTGAGACACGCTACAGTCATGCTGTCCTTTCTTTTGAATGTTGAGATTGTCCCTTTTCGCTGTTTTGACTACCGCCCGCCTGGATTTTTCACAGCGCCCCATTCAAACTACAGGGTGATCCTCTCGCTACGCTACCCAAAAGAAGTGCCGCCACAATAGAATGTAGTAGTTGACATCCCATTTCTGTCATCGCTTACTTGACCGAGGTGGCTCCTGCAGCGAAGACGGCTGTGTGCGTGAAAATGTGTTAAGAAAATATTCTGTTTTCCGCAGCGTTTAAATGGGACTCTTCTGCTCATTACACACATTTCCACTCACACAACCGTCCTCACCGCAGGGGCCTCGGCGATCATGTAAGCCAGGCCTGGCCAAGTAGGGGAGTCCACTCCTGGAACACATGTTTTGGGTCCCCTTCCAACGCTGCTCCTTCAAGTAAGATGGGACGGTTCCGACTACCAAAGACGGTAGGAAAGACGGAGAGACGGTAGTCGGAACCGTCCCACCTTACTTGAAGGAGCAGCGTTGGAAGGGGACCAAAAACATGTGTTCCAGGTGTAATTTCCCTTACTTGGACAGGCTTGATGTAAGCGCTGACTGAAATAGGATGTAGACTACCACATTCTATTGTGGCGGCACTTCCTTTGGGAAGCGTAGCGAGAGGATCACTCTGTATATCGTGTTTGATATCATTTTATAATCAGAAAAATTTCACCAATGCGCTAGTAAAAGTTTCAGTAAAAAAAAGTCAAAAATAAGAAAGTTTTATAATTGATTTAGTTTAGTTACGCCGATACGTTTCGGCTTTTTCCTTTGATCATTGGACCTCTCTCTCTCCTCCACTGTCTGTCCCTTTCTACGTTCACGCTTGGCTGGTCGTCGCGTGTAATCCGAAATTCGACACCTCGGCTGGATGTATGCAACGTCTGGATCCCAATCTCTGTTGCATATTGTATCCAGCTTTTACTGTATAAACGCGAGGTCCCTCCATTTATTAGTTCTAATAGTACCATAGTACTTTTTTATGCAGAATGTTTCAAAGAGTTGACACAAGTAAAAAGAAAAATGCAATTCCATTTAAATAAAAAGTGGATTTGCAAAGTGGAGTGCATCGTTGCATTCACGAAGAAAATGAAATCACAGAAAAATAGACATTATCATACCATTGAACTTTTACATAAACAGCTTTGTCCTATCTCTTACCAAATTCAAGATATAACCCGCCCCAATTGCATGACGTATCCTGTATACTTTCATTAATTAAAAAACATTTATTTAAAGAAGTTAATAACTTTTTCTAAAAGTAATTCTCGGATCGCACGTTCCCTCGGTTCTTCAGAGCGGGCATTAATTTTTCAGCAGCTACGGTGCGCTATATAAAATCCACGCGTTTGGGCAGTCAGAATTTATCAGAGCGAGACAATTCTGTCATTTGGGTTGAAAGAAGGATAGCACGATCACCGTACATCTCACTCTAAACACGCGCCAATGTTTCGCTTTCGTTCTTCAGGGGTATCGTCGCGATGCCTCTGGCGAGATGAGCGTTTGAATGTGTTTGTAAAAATACTTGAGGCGCTGTTGCCTTCCTAGATCGTGTTGCGCGCACGCTAGCTGAGAATTAAACCTTTCAAGTTCGTAACAAAACACGCAAGTGGCTCCACCAGGCCCAACGAAAAAACTGCTGTAATGCTGACGTCCCGAATCGGAGAGGTCACGTGCCGTGACTACCCCCTTAACGCATATTCATGCCGGCAGTCAATTGGCTGCCGTCCAGCAAGCTGCCCCTTGCCCATCGGCTTTCCGACATGAATATGTGTTAGTGTCACACGCTGCGACAATTTCGATGAAATTCAGTGTACATACACCCTGAATATAGTTTGCTCGCTCTTGCCAGAAAATCTCTTTGACCCGAGTTAAAATTACCGCCATCGAACCGAGAGGTGTCGAGGCGAGACGAGCATATACTCTCATACTCGGCTGCTCTCGGGACATCTCGCCTACTCAACAGTACTGCCCGTTGTACGTTGTAACATTATGAAAAGAATAAGTACATATGTTACATCCTGATTATATTTTAAAAATTATCTTGTCATGTAGAGCACAAGAGGAGTTTTTCTATATAAATCTCTTATTTCAAATAGTATGCGTCGATTAGTCAGTGTTTCTCACTCAGAACTTACTTCAATGTTTTATGCGCCAGTCGGACCCGAATATTATAAATTGTCACTAGCGTGTTGGGACAATAAGATAGTAATGTATAATAGATAAGACATTAATAAGATAGTATATAATAGAAATAGTAGGATAAGTAGGGAAATTAGTAGGAGAAAGTGCATGAGAACCACTGCGCACACGACCCGAGAAGACGACAAACGTTCGAGAACTGATTCAAACAATGCTCGTGAAGGGCAATAAACAACTATCGTACCATATTTCGCGTGATTTTGCCTGGCAATCGAAACCTTGCTAACTATTCGAATTAGAATTAGAATGCATAATTTTCAGTACGTAAAATATTGCTGAATACTATTAATTAACAACTCGACGTAATCGTTATACAGTAACAGATGGATATATGCAACAAACATTGGGACCCAGACGTTGCATATATCCAGTCGAGGTGTCTAATCTCGGGTTACACGCCACGAGCAGCCAAGCGTGAACGTAGAAAAGGACAGACAGTTGTGGAAAAAGAGAGGTCCGATGATCAAAGGAAAGAGCCGAAACGTATCGGTGTGACTAATACTAATTCAACTATAAAACTTTTTTATTTTTGACTTTTTTTTACTGAAACTTTTACTAACGCATTGCTGAAATTTTTCGGATTAAAATGATACCAAACACGATATAGTTTGAATTATAATTACTTGCTAAAATTGATGTTAAAAGTTGGCGAAAAGCAAAGGAGGATTGGAAATGAAACCCGGTTGCGGCGTCGGCTCGGGTTTCAAACGTTGCATATATCCAGCCGAGGTGTCGATTCTGGGCATTTAAACGTTGCATATATCCAGTCTTAGTGTCGATTCTGCGTCCGTACAAATCGTTTGTACCGTGCCGCGATATCTATTCTACGTTCGTACAAATCGTTTGTACCGTGCCGCGATACCTATTCTACGTTCGTACACAACATGCGACGTGTTGCATGTTGCATGTTGCGTGTTTGATGTATCTTTGGTGTACGGCCTGCCTTATACATATGTACAGTTTTATTATTATTTTAATCAGAAAAATCTCATTATAGCGATATATCGCTGTAATCGAAATCTAAAACGTTGCCAATAACATCAAATAACTGTATCAAAAGATCGTTACGTTAACAGAAGGAGCAAGCAACACGAGCGATAGAGAAGGCGAATAAGAAAGTAAGGAAGAAGAAATGTGCGCATGTAAATCATGGGGTGGCCCGTTGTCAATCGCGTACCCTGATTAGTTAAGGATATCCCCTTGCAGGACACCAATCGCGGAATGAGGGTCCCGGCCGCGATCAATGAAAAATCATTTTTCGTCGAACAGTCGCGGGATACGTGACAGGAGCCCGTGTGCCGTAGAGACAGACTGTCGTGAAGGTATTATGGATCTAATTGCTCGGTAAAGGACTCAGACGCGCACGTTAAATTTTCATACTTTTCCCATCTTTTCTTTCTTTGAGAGTTTAAAGCGATTTTAAAGCAATTCGAAGGTTTAGTTTTTCTACAAACAAAAATAAAGTTTAGTTCAAGTTATATACTCGCTTATTTTGTTATAATTTTATTCGTTACGTCTATCGGCCAAACCACGTCGGACTATGAGTGTGTGGAAACCTTATTTTCAGATTCTACCGACATATAAAGCATTTCAAAACGTACAACCATTGTATACATATATTCCAACTGCATGCCAGGCGACCGCTTGCGAGAACACTGCCACCGGATCTCTCGCCGCCACCTAGCGGTCCCCGGCCCGAACTAAAGGCGTCCGGGGAGACGAAACCCTCTCTCCCCCAACACTAAACGCTTACACAACACAACCAGATTTGGTTAACCTAGGTTAGGGTTAGGGTTAGGGTTAGGGTTAAGTTAGTCATTTTCCGTGAAAATGCGTTATTATCGAGGTAATAGGAGGTTTCCGCACTTTTATAATACCCTGTATATCTCGAGAACGGTTTATTTGCCAGTTCTGAAAATGGTCTCATTCGATTTCTCGTCTCTCAATTACTATAAATCCGAAGTTTGGTTGTCCTGGGGTGATGGGGCCTTTCAGAAGTATACCCCCAGATTTCATCGAAGGATCCGTACGGGACCAGAGCCCAGACAAACCAGTAGTAGTTACCTACTGTGTAAAATTTTTAATTGTTTTAGTCGTAAAGAGCAGAGGCATGTACGCGTTTAGACTTGCCATACGCAGTTAGGGCTGGTGGCAGCGATAATCCAATATCTAAGATCCTTAATTTATCAAGAATTTTACGTTACGTCGTCGCTTCTCACGCGAGACGTAACGTAACAGATATTTACAAGTAAACAGCCGTAAATTTAATATTGAATCAAATATTAAAAATTTCAGATATCTAAATTTTCTTTTCATCACTGTATGTGGCCTAAGTATGAATCTTAATGCAAAGTTTTAACAGACATCTAGTTGATGAATTATTATTATTTCAGCTCAGAGAAAGGAGGAGCCAAGTGAAGGTATATCCACTTTTATCCACCATCGACGCTCTCAAGCAAGAAAATTGCCCCAACAATTTGGCCGATATGGATACTCTATCCGATCTCATGAAATCTAAACGGTCCTACAAATCAAATTTAAAATCTAATCACAAAAAACCAAACGATTTCGACGAATATTCCTTCAACTTTGACAGACCTGTTTCCAATCATCATTTTTCATCAAAAGGACATACACATCGGTTCAGTACCGGGTCAGATATGTTCGAAAACGACAGCCAATTTGATTTCGAAGAGTTAAAGAAATCAGAGAGTTTGAAACAACCTCATGGATCGAATCACAATCATCGATCCACTCGACGGGGTCAATTGAATCGACACGATCAATACATTGTTAAAGATGATCGTAATAAACATTTGACGGGTGACTTCTCGGGTCACTTTGAACGTTTGCATCAATCCGAATTCCTTGATGGATCGTTCCGTGCTAAATCTGGAGAATTCAATCGTTCGGACGAATTAGACCTGTTGAACCAATCTAACGTGAACTATATTAGAATTCCAAGAAGAGGAGATATTGGGATTCAAAGTCTGGATGAAAGAAGTGAGTCAAACGAAGGTTGTATTAGGTTGACAATTAAATTCGCATCCTTCACAATCATTTACTGAAATTCACTGAGCAACAGTTTTCAATGCTTCAAAATATTTAGTTGTCAACCGAATATTTTATAAAAACTTTTACACGATGAATGTAAAATAACTTATAATTCTGATTTCGTAGCCTGTTTGACGGACAACCAGATAGTCAAAACACTAAACGAGCTGATCGAAGGTACTAAGAAGGTCTGGAGAGAAATAGAATTGAATGTGAGTAATAATCGTAGTTATAGAACTGTTGCTTCGCAATTGCAAAAACGAGCTCTGTACGTTGCTGTATGTTTGTACAAAGAGTATTTTTTTTTAAATCATGAGGAATGAAAAAAATGAGAAATCGCTTAATTTGAGCTGTTTTATTTGAAAATGGCTATTTAACTATTGCGCTGTTAACTATTCCGATAGTTAACTATGGGAAACCTTTCATGTCGATAATGTATATTTACTAATACTAGTGAAACGTCCCGTGCAATGCACGGGGAATTAATCAGTTAAAATATAAATTTGACTTTGCCCACCATCCACCCTAAACTCCAATTCCATGATATTAAACCAAATGAAACTTTTAATTAAAAACTTCGTTGTAAACTACATTGTGTTGATTTAAAAATGCATCAATTTGATTTGTTAGAAAATTTGTTGCGCAGGATCCGCTATTATCTTATGGAAACGTTGACCCTTGCGCAGTCCTAAACCATAAGAGATAGACATGCGCAGTAAATTTTTACAAAGAAAGTAACCAAAGAAAAAGTAGTCGAAGCACCCACAATGATGACGTAACTAGTTTTTATGTATCCCTTAAAAAGTGTCCCTTAATAAGAGTTTTACTGTACTATCATTGTAAGAGTACACATACATATAACATTTTTCTACCTTGTTTTCGAGCATGCGTACAACGTCTCAGCGTCACTCACAGACATGTTTCCACGTTATAATATGATTTCATACATTTATTGAAGGTAAATATACTTACATATATACATAAAAAAAACTTATATTTATAAACATAAACAAAATATAGCTGCCCTTAAATATTATTATACGGCTAAACTTCTGAAAACCTGTAAAATCAGATTTGGCTTGCAAATAGCTTCATTTTAGATAAAAATAATGATTGCGAGAAGGATTTTTGGCGATGCGGAGGTTAACATCCATAACTTTGCGAAAAGTGTTTTATCATTTTTGTGCACCGAAAACTTCCATGCTTTGATTTGGCTGAAACTTTAACTATAGGTTCCTTACAAATAACAACAATATATCTGAGAAGGATTTTTGATGATTTGAAAGTTAGGACTCAAAATTTTGAAAAAAATAGAACATTTTACTAAAGTAATGTCACTCTCTGCATTACCGACACAGCTTAGAATAAGATTACAATACATATTGGTATCGACGAGAGACTACTAGTAATAATAATAGTCTTTCGTCAGTGATATTAGTTAAAATAGAATGGGAAGGCTGAGCCACCTCGAGAACATAACAAATATATAATTAAAAAATATTACAATATTACATATCGTATTTTATAAGTTAGGTTAGGTTTAAATTCTTTTGAACCAGAAAGAGGCTCGCAACATTTTTGGGTCCTATTTTTCGAGTCGCCAAAAATCTTTCTTGCAAATATTGTTTTTATGTAAAATTCAATTACTTGCAAAATTTCAGGCAAATTTGATTTGATAGGTTTTCGATACTTTGTTTATATTTCAGTACCTGTATGAAATAACCTACCTGAACCTGACATGCGACTTTGAAAAATTCAATTTTTTCAAATTATATTATATTACCCTTCGTTTGTACCCGTTTCCTTTACGAGCTGCGAATGAGCGCGCGGTCGAGCACAGAAAACGAACAAACTGCGCCCTACAGAAAAAACGAGGAACTAAATTTGTGGTCTGTTTTACCTTTTTGACGTTTTTCGCGAGTGAAAAATCAACGAAATCGTAGTTTTCGGTTTTCGTCTAAACGAAAGCTTGTACACCATCCCCTGGGTGCTCGTTTTGCTCTATCCGACCCAAAGAATGGCGCTCTGGTCTCTATTTGGACATTCGTTTCGCAAAAATGTTTATATTACAAATAAATTAATGCAGGTGAGTCCGATCCGCCATTTTCTTGACTGTGGACAGACACAAATTTCAATATTTTATAACTTTTTGACGATTTGGGTAAAATAAGGACCAGAGCGCCATTCTTTATGGCCTTCTGGACACGTCCCTCAAATTTTTTTGCATTCTGTTTAGAAATGACGACGAAAACCGAAAACTCGCGTCTAGGGATTTTTGTAGGGACTGTCGGTAAAGTTTTCGACGCTCGCATGGAGGCGAAAATTCCCTAGCACCCCACTTTAACATTTTTTATTTCTCTCAACGCCATAAAAAGAAGACACGTTTGTACCCGTTTGTACCACCTTCACTTTCGTTTGTACCCCAAGGGGTTAGTTTGTACCGATTTCTGAAACTGACCCCAAGAGGTAACTTCACCATTTCTGAGGAAGACTGCCTGCCAGAGCTTTATTGTCTAGTTTGAACGCTTCTTAAAGAACCTTTAAGTGTAGGGACACCAGATGTTATGGACCCGCGATATTTATCCGTTTCTTGGGTTGCCCACCTCTATAACCCCCAAAAGGATCAATTATCGCGCCTAATAGTGCCGCGTGTAACTACTGGCGTAGGAGGGCGTCTGTGTCCAGCTTACTAATGCTAAGAGTGTCTCTGCTCTTTTATATCCTTTCATATATTTGCCTGTCACCTATCATATATTCTTTACCATCCTTTCTGATAGTTTATACTAATATGACGTCTGTTTTTTTAGAGATTGGAAACGCAACACCTTCGACAATTAATCGAAAATTGCGCAGCCTGTCGTGTACCCCCCGGTGAGTGAAGTTCTGCTGTCTTGAAAAAATTATTAATCGGCAAGAATCTCAGTTGTTCATTTTAAATTCTTTTATTTTTTGTTTCGTTAATGTACAAATATGGTCTTACGTTGCAATAAATGTGTACTTTTTGCAAACTCGAACAATGTTGTGACTCGTTTGAAAGGAAGAAGAAACTTGTAACTACTCCACGAGAAAAAGTACTTTTTCCTCTAATGTTTCAATATTTTAAAGTGTCTTGTTTAATCCTTGTATGATATGATTAATAACTCGTCAACAAGTAACATGATATAGCATAAAAACAGCTTGGTCTAAATTAGACCATTTGTTGTTACGAGCCACTTAATTTCACAATTACTCTCTTACGATTAGTGCATATTAATTGAAGAAGAAACAAAATGATAATAAAAATATTATTCTTGTTTTCTACATTATATAGGGTGTTGCCAAGAAATTTGTAAAAAATTTTATGTCGTTAGATAATATTTAAATCTGTACAATTTTTATAAATTAGATACTTTTATCTAGATTATTAGATAATGGAAAATATTTAAAGCAAAAATGTCCACTTGCTGTTCACGAGCAAATAGTCCCCTCCGAGAGGTACCTCCATTATGGAGCAGACACGCAAAAGAAACAAGGTATAGTTGGAGCCATAATGGAAAGACATCGTTCCGTGTTCCTTTGCATTTCCGTATTCACACATCGCGACTCGAGCGTGACGATCCAAGCTTCATAATGGGGGTACTTCTCGCAGGGGAATATTTGCTCATGAGCAGCAGGTGTACATCTTTGATTTAAAGCAGAGCTAAACAACTTTTTGCTCACGAGTAACTCTCTTTTCTGGAGGTACCCCCACTCCGACAGAGACGACCACACACAAGTTGCGGCGGGAGGACGTACTACATTCATACATCTCGCGAGGCCTCGTGAGACCTCCCGTGTCCTATTGCCGCATCTCGTGCGCGGTCGTCTTGATTGGAGTGGGGGTACCTCCGGAGAAATGATTTACTCGTGAACAAGAAGTTACCATTTTCTGTAAAGTTCGTAAAAAGTTTTAAAATTTCATGACGATATTTAAGCGAGACATTAGTGGAAAAATAATTCGGTAATTATCGATATCTCATCAACCCCACTCATTTCACTAATTTTTTAATATGTTGTTGGAATGATGATTCTAAGCAACTTTTTCCTATACATATAACCGCCGCTTAGCTTTAGTTTTTGAAATATTTGCAAATGAAAGTTATTACTATTTACTATACCAATGAATTTTGTGTATACCTACACGTCCACGGCGGTATGTGCGTCAATATAGGATGGTTGATTTCTGCAAACACAGCATAATGTCCGTCAAGCAGTATATATAACGAGTGGAACTTAAAAATTCAATTTCACTACACACTAATCGTAAGTTTATGTTAAATAACGTATAACGCAAGTCATTTTTTGAATTTTGGCATGCGTGGCCGAAATATTAATTTAACCAAACCAAACCTAATCTAATACAAAATTAAATTAGTAGATTTGTTACTTATTGAAATAGGTTAAGTTAGGTTAGGTTAGATTAATATTTCGAGCGCCATCAGGTAGCCAGCCACGCAAGCCAAAATTCAAAATCGTTGAAATCAGTCAAGTTCGCTTTTATTTTTCACCCGTTACATTGCTTGGATTTCGGCCGCTGCAATCTGCTTATAAAAAGAGGGGATATGTGGTGGTCCCGAGCTGACGCACACACCGCCACGGACGTCTAGGTATTGTACAGCCGACTCTAGTACTAGCCATGCTGAACAACGTGGCAACACCGCTCACGTGACAATCGGGAGTCCTATTTTCAAAAACAGAGTCCTGTGCTCGGAATTGTAATTAACGTCTCTTTTAATTAAAAGCTGTAGTAATATACACTATTTTGTGTTAATTATGTATAAACAATATATAAACGTTGCAACAATGGCAAATAGAAGTGATGTGGTAGTATAAAATTGTTATAAATGTGATATATATTTTGTGTACTCTCGAAGTAGTTTGGTGTTGTGAAGCATGATATTTAAAATATTTACAGTGGTTTCAAGAAAATTTAGGTATGAAGCAAAATGAAACCATCTTTGGATCAAATTGAAACATTTAAGAATTGATGAACGTGTATATAAGTTAATAAAAACCTTGAAACAAGCGAAATTATTGGAACGAAACCAAAGAGGTTATGTGAAGTCCAGAGAGTAGTCGGGAGTCTGACGACGTTGATTGGCTGAGAGTCCGGGAGACCGGGAGGCAGATAGAGTAGGGTAGGTGTTGATATATTCAGACCGGACTCCCGCGGTGTTGCCATTTTTACTTCAGCACGGCTAGTACTAGAGTCGGCTGTGATAGTGTCCGTTCGTCTAGTGAAAAAGCACTGACTTTGGAGTCCAAGTTTAACCGTAGCAAATATCATAAATCTAATTATATAATAAAAGTGTTAAAATAATTAATATAATCATCTGATAAAAGCTTTAGAATATTCAATAATTTATTTGAAATTACAAAATACACTAGACGAACGGACACTATGATTGATATTGTTGCTGACAAGTAACTTTCGCTTGCAAATATTTCAAAAACTAAAACCGAGCAACGGTTATATGTATAGAAAAAAGTTGCTTACAATTATTATCTCAACAACATTAAAAAATGAGCGAAATCGGTGAGGTTGACGAAATGACGATAATTACCAATAATTTAGTGCCAAGATAGTAATTAACGAGGGGAAGGTACCAACTGTCCTATTTTGATTTTAATCCTTTCAACACTATCGAAAATTTTTGTATTTCAAAGAACTGTAATAATATTTTGTAAAGTTTAATTTTATTCCAAATTCCATAGAATTTAAAATAATCCTATGGCAATACATTTCTGGGATAAAAGTAATTTTATCATAATATACTACATATTGAGATATACAGGGTGTTCGACAACCGGTGGGCAATACTTTAAAGGGTGATTCTAGGGATCAAAATAAGACGAAAATCAAGAATAACAAAATAGCGTTTACGGCTTTGTTTTCCAGTTATTAACGTTTAAAAATTCGAGTAAAAAGCGCCAGAAACCTGCAATCCGCTCTGCACTGACGACCGAACCACAGTATAGGAAAGAACAGTAGAATCACTCTGCCAAAAAGCGTACTAATAATTGTAGCTTGCGCATGACCGAATCGCACAACCAACAATATGGCGGCTGTGAATATATATGATAATAGTTTCTTGCATTTTAACCTCTGTTACTTCTAAAACATTCCTGTTGCGATAAAATTCAGTAAATTTTATACACAGATATAAAATATGAGTGAAAGAGGTGGATATTGTTGTTCCTTCAAAGGGTACCAAAGTGCAAGCAGTGACAGCAGTAACAGGCGCTTTGGGACACCCTATATTTTATATCTGTCAAATGATATTTATCCAACGTTTCTTGTACATTTTAGATAAAAACATTATCATCATTGTTTTATCAAAATATTACCACTTTATGGGTTGTTTAGTGTATTTTAATTAAATGTAGATATTTAATAGTCTTTTTATGGTATTCTATTACGAAATCTCTTTTTGATTGTACCGAGTGCTTTTCAAATTAGAGCCCGCGCACAACCAGCAATATGGCGATCTATTAGTCATTAGATCAAAGGTGCCGACACGGAGTGAACCTACTGTTCTTTCCTATCTGTGACTGTACGTCACGTCAGCAGGGGTCGGTACAGTCATAACCAAGAATCGTTGAATAGTAGAAACTTACCTCGTGCTATTCTATTTCTCGGTACTGCAGTATTCAGCGGATTGCAGGTTTTTGGCACTTTTTACTCGAATTTTTAAACATTAATAACTGGAAAACAAAGCCGTAAACGCTATTTCGTTATTCTTGATTTTCGTCTTATTTTGATCCCTAAAATCACCCCTTAAAATATTGCCTACCTGTTGTCGAACACCTTGTATATCATCCCAACTATGACACAAATTAACTTTTACGTTTCTCTTTTGACTCTATTTTCTATTATAATAATACTAATTTGTAATTAAAAATTAGTCATTTGTATGACTAATTTTAAAATAAGATGGTGGGATACCAGTTTCTAATAATATATGCGAAATATTATAACAAATATTAGGTATAGACGCTCGGTAACTTTAAGACGTAAGCAATTAAAAGCAGTACCTTGTTACTTTTCTGTAAGTTCATTGCATTGGGTTAGGTTAAGGTAGAGTAATATTATGGCCTCCTGACGGCTACAAAGTCATTAATTTAAAATTATTGAATATGTTATCGGCTCATATACTGTTGCTTATAGAAACACCAGATAAGTGGCGATCGTATACTGACGCATACACTGCTACGGATGTACATACATGTGTAGGCAAAAGTCAGTATAATAGTAGCAACGGTTTTTCGGGAATATCTCAAAAACCAAGGCTGACCGACACTCATATGTTCAGAAAAAAGTTGTTCAAAATGTTAATATTCACAACATATTTTAAGGTCATCAAAGTCGAAGAGGAAGTAGCGTTTGTACAAGTTCACCAACTTGTTTTCCAGTGACATTTTACATAAAAGATTATGGAAAATGTTCCGAATGTCTGGTGATCGATCGACACAAAATTTTGAGGTTGGAATGGAGAAGAGGGAGAAAAAACCCTAAATATAAAGCAGTATCGTTGGCGGTAACTAACAGTTGTCTTCTCTGTAATAGCAGTCATCGTCGATTGTCGAATAGCCGTCCCGCGATAGAGATCTCGTGCTGACAGTAAGTATCTATAGCAGGGACGCTCAGCAAGCAGTAAGACAAACATAGGCATCCCTTTGCGTCCATGGTTGTACACGTGCACTGTTGCGGGCTTGGGGTGAGTATTTAAGTACTTAAATCTTCGTCTCGGGCGACAATCGTTTGGGAGAATGGAGACTGCTTCAGTATTACATACTTTCCCATTACCGATCGCCGATCGATAAATCACAGTAGTAGAGACGATGCCCGTAACAAGTCCGACAACACTCAGGCGCCTGTGCGTGCAACTTCTTAGGGTGTCCCTAATCTATAGAGTGTAGTATTGTCAAAAATTTATCTAACCCAATTGAAAACTTTACATGCGAATCAAATGTGCTTAATTCCTTGAGAATAAGTGATTAGATTTTTCAAAAATGGATTTTATATGGAATTCTTTATACAGGGTGTCCCAGAACTGGGGTAGGAGCCGAAGAGGGATGATTGGTGAAGTCATTCTAAACAATGTTGGTGAAGGCTTTGTTTCTTTTTTTTATCCATTATCCGATGCAACTTCTGCCAAACGGATCCTACTATACCGACATAGTGCCGATGCACTTGATCACGATCGCGCAGAGCATACCCAACACTCTCGTGGTTCGGCCCGCGTTAACAGATTGGCCAGCGTTAATAACTCGAAAACAAAGCCTTCACCAACATTTTGGCAAAGGAAAACGTTGTTTAGAATGACCTCACCAATTATCCCTCTTCGGCTCCTACCCCAGTTCTGGTACACCCTGTAGATGCAGAAACCGATCTCGACTGCTCGATATTCGATGGCAATGGCTTTTGGCAGTGAAGACAATTGTATTAGTTGCGTATATATAGGCGAAATTCAATGTGGAAACTAATAGGCTGATGAAGAAGCAGTTTTATATTTAAGGTCCCCCCCTCCATCACTCCAAATTTTGTATCGATCGGTCACCGGGGATATTCGAAATTACAGCTAAAATAAGGAGAAATGTTTTTTATGTTTTTGTCCAATTACCTATCGTTTGATACTCTGTATTTCTGCGGTTATTAAACTTCTGAATGGTTTGGATTCAAGATTAAGTGCCTACATCAAATATTACATATATGTTATTAACCTCTTAAACGGGTATAACGACAAAATTTGTCATCGCATTTCTAAAATGTATCTTGTACTGGAAAACAAAATAAGACAGGGATAAAAAATTGCACATATTTTTGTTAGTCATTAGGTATAGAAATAATTATTAGCTATGGTAATTATCGATATCTCGTCAACCCCACCAATTTCATTCATTTTTTAATATGTTGTTGGGATCATAATTCTAAGCATCTTTTTCCTATACATATAACCGTTGCTCGGTTTTAGTTTTTGAAATATTTGCAAACGAAAGTTACTTGTACTATACCAATGAATTCTGCATATACCTAGGTGCCCGTGGCGGTGTATGCGTCAGCACAGGATCACTTCTTATCCCCTCTTTCTATAAGCAGTAAGTAAATTGCGGCGGCCGAAACCCAAACACTACAACGGGTGAACTAAAAAATCGAACTTGACTGATTTCAATGATTTTGAATTTTGGCTTGCGTCCAACCTAACTTAACCTATTTCACTAACTAACAAATTCACTAATTTAATTTTGTATAGGTTAGGTTAAATTAATATTGGATTTTTAAGTTCCACCCGTTATGTATACTGCTTGATGGGCACCATGCTGTGTTTACAGAAACCAACCATCTCATACTGACTTATACATCGCGACGGACGTGTAGGTATACACAGAAGTCACAGGAATAGTAGGAACTTTCTTTTGCAAATATCTCGATAACTAAAGCCGAGCGGCGTTTATATGTACAGGAAAAAATTGCTTAGAATCATCATGCTTAAAAAATGAGCGAATTCGGTGAGGTTGTTGAGAGAAGCTTTTCACTTTCTTCTTTGCAGTCAAGGCGTGAAGACGACAGACACTGGTAACAGAGTCAGCAACTTCTCTCTCTTTCTCTCTCCTTCTCTCTCTCTCTCTCTCTCTCTCTCTCTACGTCGACCATACGAGTGCAATCAGAGCAAAAAAAAGACAAAATTTGAGGGAAAACAATACTCTAATTTTTCGGCGCCTTAGTGACCAAATAAGATATTTGGAATAGTCAATATTTTTTCCTTTTTTTTCTCAACCATTTTCGCACAAAAGTTTTGTTTTAACTGTTAAAATAGCGAAAAACACACCTAAAACGGTTTTGAGATTATTTCAAAATCTAGCCATAGGAATTGAGAAATCAGGAATTTTTGCACAACTTCAAAACGTGTTCTTTCCAATGATACCAATGATGACTGCATGGTATCGTCCAGTTCCGCGCAAATCTCTGCAGAAAGATGGTAACAACGCAAAACAGAGTCAACTGGGAAAGTGAAGACTCAGGCCCTAGGGGCCTTCGGCAATTACCGTAGTTATTTTAACATAAGCAGGAAATAATTGCACGCTTAAGAGGTTAAGAATTTATATGCTATCATCATACTGAAACAGGCAATGCCCGCTAATATAAAAATTGGACAATTGAGATTCTTCCTTTGTAAAAACAAAATATAAACAAACTAAAATCAGAAACACAGTAGAAAAGAGTGCAGGTCAAAATTACATAAAAAGAGTAATAATAATTAAAAAAGCAGCAATAGTGAGACGTTTAACGCAAAAACTAAACTCTGTAGAATCTTGTTAGAACAGATTACGTAACGAGGTACTAGGTTTGTCCCGCTCCGTCATCGCGAAGATAAGCGACCGAACGGGAATGTTGCTAGTCCAATGGACTAGCTTTCTTTGGAAAAATGACTGCTGACAAGTCTTGATCCTAGTAATTCCACAGTTCCATCAACTACAACGACGGCAGCTCCTCTTCCTAGTTGCGATTACAAATCACCCTGCTTCCCGGGGGCTGACTGCCGTAACACACCATACGGCCCACAATGTGGAGCTTGCCCACCACGTTACACTGGCGATGGATATCGTTGTGTGAAAGCCGTCGTTACTTGCACGAACAACCCTTGCTTTCACGGTGTTCGTTGTTACGACCGTGCGGATGGATACAGGTACATTTTAATTTATTTATTTTGCTTATATAATCCAGCTAAAAGAGATTCAAGAGATTTATTGTGATTATTGGAAGATAGAAACTTACATATTTACATTTAATTCCTAAATATTTTTTACGTCAATTATTGTGAATGACAATCAATCTAATTGAGTATTTCAAGACCCAGGGCCCCCCTAAGACGATTTTGCGTCTAAGAATGCAAGAAGAGTAATGTTTAGTTGAATATTAATCAATGTAAATGCAAATCTGAATTAATTATACACACTTTAATGTTAATTTTATAAATTTTGTTTGAGATACGTTTTTTTATGACATATACAGGGTGTCCCAGAACTGGGGTAGGAACGGAAGAGGGATGATTGGTGAGGTCATTCTAAACAACTTTTTCCTTTGCCAAAATGTTGGTTAAGGCTTCGTTTTCGAGTTATTATCGAAAAACACTGGCCAATCAGAGCGCGCCGTTAGCGCAGGCCGAACCACGAGAGTGTTGGGTATGTTCCGCGCGGTCGTGATCAAGTGCCTCGGCACTACGTCGGTATGATGGGATTCGTTGAATAGAAGTTGCATCGGATAATGAATAAAAATAAGAAAAGAATAATTGTATCGAATTATTGATTACTCATGAACAACGAATCCTATTACACCGACGTGGTGCCGATGCACTTGATCACGACCGCGCGGAACATACCCAACACCCACGTGGTTCGGCCCTCACTAACGGCGCGCTCTGATTGGCCAGTGTTTTTCGATAATAACTCGAAAACGAAGCCTTAACCAACATTTTGGTAAAGGAAATAGTTGTTTAGAATGACCTCACCAATCATCCCTCTTCCGTTTCTACCCCAGTTCTGGGACACCCTGTATATGAAGGGACCCTTTTTCGGAGCTCGCCTCGGACCCCCGAAATTTCAGGGCTGGTCCTGACGTAAATCTACCCAAATGGACGCGAATGTGTTAATCGACGTTTGGATCTTTAATATATCAAGATTTTAAGCACCAGTTGCCTATGCAAGGAGATACGATTGTTATAATAACCTAGGGAACATTGTATTAGCATAAGCAGATGATTCGAATAAAGAATTCGTGTTTCAAGTTATCTGAATTATTCGAATAGTTCAAATATTTGAGTTTTTAGACTTCTAATTAGGACTCAAACGACTGTCATCGCTTATATTCCAAAGCATTTGGCAATTTAGTCAATCAGGTCTTTCTTATTGTTAAATAATTAAAGATAAGGACATTGTTATAGTTTACCACTTCCCCATTATTTTGAATTTTAATTTCAATCATAATACAGTACGTAATTGGTTATTTTGTTTCCTTGGCCTTATTGATAGAGGATATTAAAGAGAAAAGAAAAAATATTAATTATAAATAAAATTATTGTGCCTGTCAGCATTCGATAAGATATTTAGGGTAACTTATAGGTTCTGGAGCGTTCGGAGAATTAGAATTCACCGATCGTCGAGTATAAAGAAGAAAGGTTTTTATTTTATAGTCACGCTTACAGGTTATTGACTTGAAAGTGTGACAATATTCCGTGCCGAGGGAGGTTCGTCGTTTTTTGACCATATTTGATAATTCGTCGAGACACTCGCGGTGGCCCCGGCCGGTACGTGTCGCTAATTTGGGCATTCTTTAGCCAAACGACCGTCATCACTTGGTCAGTCGGTCGGTCTGAAGGATAACTCTAACCTGAGCACAGCACAATAATCTATCACTTGAGCGCCTAATTATTTCAACTTGTAAGCAACAATGATTTTAATTATAAGTACAAGGAAAGAACAGAATCTATTTGATAACTCGGCCAATTAATTCTACTCTGTTTATAATTTTCAAAATTGAAATTATTCTAGTGCCTGTCAATTTTTCAGTTGCGGAAAATGTCCTTCCGGTTACGTAGGGGACGGTAAACACTGCGAGCGACGCTGGAATGGTTGCGAGTCCAATCCTTGTTACGCAGAAGTGGAATGCGAGTCTGTCGTTTATCCACCCTATTACAGGTAACTATCAAACCTGATTTATAAACATAGACAATTAAATATAGAACATAAAAGGAATGGAGGAAAAGTTATAATAGTAATAATACTGAAAGAGAGGAATAAAGAAAATAAGACACTACTGTAGTATGATAGGATTTCGCTTCGCTCGTTGCCCTCACCCTCTTCTTGCAGGCCACCAAGTACAGATCTAGCAATATTTTTGAAACGATTGGAAATATTCAGTTCTAATACTTATCTTGAATTTAGTGATCCCGTTTTATGGGGGTCACCTCCGTGACACACTGCCTAGACTTTAGAGTTATTGCAAATTCTTGAATCAGTTAGTCAGTCAGTTATAGGTTTGTAATAAAGTGGTTTACCTACAATAAGTTATACAAGTATCTATCATGCATATTAAGTATAAGGCTACTGAGGGACTTAACCCATTCAGAACAAGTGGCATACATTTACACCTTTATACAAATGCTGCTCATGATCGAATTGCGTATTCCTATCTGTTGATGGATAAGTATGACAGCCATATGACCTATTTAATTGGCATTCACTACACCGACAGGAATAATCGTCTTTCGTTAGGCGGAAATTTTCGGGACAGGAAAGCACTGTAGAGCACATACGGTTGCATCTTGACACGTGACTCGCCTACACGTTGCGAAAGGAATGGCAATGTTTTATATGGGGATCGGGAAGCATCTATAAACTAAGTAGACCTAAGAGGACACAGCTCAATTTTCGTACATGAGAGGTTCTATAATTCCACAGAGATAGGAATAGAAAGTGCGTGTGTCGTCTGTATATGGCAGGTCATTTTCTCGTGGATATTTAGTTTTTTTCAATGCACTGTAGCTGAAATACAGGTCCCCTGAAACGTACAGTGTAACTGCTAGATTTTTCTCAGCAACAGTCCAGCACTAATTCGTTAAGTATACGGTTATTTACTGTATATGCCCGGGCGAAAAGGCACACCGACACAGCTACAGATTAAAGGTATACTTCCGATAGGCCCCATCACCCCAGGACAACCAAACTTCGGATTTATAGTAATTGAGGGACGAGAAATCGAATGAGACCATTTTCAGAACTGGCAAATAAACCGTTCTCGAGATATACAGGGTATTATAAAAGTGCGGAAACCTCCTATTACCTCAATAAGAACGCATTTTCACGGAAAATGACTAACCTAACCCTAACCCCAACCCTAACCTAGGTTAGGTTAGTCATTTTCCGTCATAACCCTAACCCTAACCCTAACCATAACCTAGGTTAGGTTAGTCATTTTCCGTCATAACCCTAACCCTAACCCTAACCTAGGTTAGGTTAGTCATTTTCCGTGAAAATGCGTTCTTATCGAGGTAATAGGGGGTTTCCGCACTTTTAGAATACCCTGTATATCTCGAGAACGGTTTATTTACTAGTTCTGAAAATGGTTTCATTCGATTTCTCGGCCCTCAATTACTATAAATCCGAAGTTTGATTGTCCTGGGGTGATGGGGCCTTTCGGAAGTTTCCCCCAGATTAATATCATCTATTTACTATCAATGTTCATTTTTAATTTTATGTTGGAGACCGGGGTTGTAGAAATCATGGTACAACAAAAATACAAAATGCAGATTATTTATTACTTCAGACGGTGGTTAACGTGTTACCCGAACCGTAGATACCTACTGGCAAAATGACACATTTTTCCTAAGTTCTACGTGTATTTATATTTTAAGAAAAGGGCGGCGTGGAAGGGTCAAAGAAAGGAAAGGGCAAAGGTTATAGGTGACTAATTGTAGAATGCAGTTGAGCAATTGAGTATGAGGATGACTGATTGTTTATGAAAGATATAGGAGATAGGGAGCAAACGGAGTGACTGTTGGTGTGATTTTGCCCTTGTTAGCCGAAGATAAGGAAGATGATATCCAACATTTGTTTTATTACTTATATTAATTATAAAAATAAGAATGCTAAAAATATATAGTTTCCCGCGCTTGACCGGTTAGGGGGGATCAAACTTACTACTGACCATCCTCAACTGGTTAAAAAAAAGGAGAGCAAGAGGAAGCCGAAGTCTGATAAAAAGAAGGCAAAATGCGGAAATTTAGAAACGGGAAACAATTATTAGAGAAATTAAAGGATAAAAGTCTAGAAGACACGATGGAATGTTTGAGGAGCGTAAGAAGGAATGGAAATGAAAAAATAAATCATAGATATTATTTCATTAGCTTGTAGTTTTTAGTTTTATTTTTAGGGTAAATGTAAGAATGGGATGAAAAAAAAGAGGTGGATGCGCGGATATGAGCATGTAGTATAATTATTATCGTAAATCCGTTTATTAATCACAACATTGAATTAAAATAAATATTATTAGGAATAACCTAAGTTATGAAGCCAAGAAAAATTCCAATAATAGTATATTAGTTTGGTGCATATGAAATATCGTAATAAATCGTTTTGCAACTTCGAAATCTCTTATGTCTAATATTATCAATTGGATTATTAGTGCTTTTAAAAATTTCTATTGTAATGACTCTAATTTTTTAGATGTGGCTCCTGCCCCAATGGATACATTGGTAACGGTTCTACCTGTCTTGATTTAAACGAGTGCGAAGTGGCACAACCTTGCCACCCCGGCGTTCGATGCATCAATCTCCGTCCTGGTTTCAGATGCGAACCTTGTCCACCAGGATTTACTGGGTCTACGATAGAGGGTGTAGGTTTAGATATAGCCAGAAGTCGTAAACAAGTTTGCCATGATATAAACGAGTGCGAAATTAACAACGGAAATTGCGATCCATACATGGAATGCATTAATACAGAGGTAACTAAATAGTTTCATATCTTTGTAAGAATTGTAGACAGAATTTCAAAGAATATAGTTATATTTTTGTAAAATTTATAAACAAGAATTTATTTGTGATATCAATTTTTCTAGATTAAAATATAAAAAATAAACTTACCATCACACCGATTACGAATCGTTTGTAATTTTAATTTGTTTAGATATATGTACGTAAGGGTAGTAACTTGCATACAAATACGGTTGAACGTCAACACTTAATAGTTGTTGAAATAAATTATTTTTTTCTTTATGCAGGGTTCATACAGATGCGGTCCTTGTAGAGTGGGTTTTGTAGGGAATCAAACAGTTGGCTGCCATCCTAAGCACAGTGTTTGTCCAGATTTAGTGACTGTGTGTGACGTGAATGCTGAATGCAACTGCATCGACAATAATCAGTATGTTTGCAGAGTAAGTATTAAACATATTGTAAATATTGTATTGAAAGTATTGTTTTGAGGTTAGGGGCGAGGAAGGGCGGAAAGTAAAAGTATTTTAGGGTAGGCATGCTCAGCAAGTAATAAATCAGTCATTGGCGTCCAAAGCAGCACACGGGCACAGTTACGAGTTTCTGTTACTGGAACAGAGCAGACACGAAACTGTAAGAGAATGGTTGCACTCGGGCGCCCTACGGGCAATTTTATGAACAGATATAAATTTGTGCAGTTCTTTGTTCGCTTTGTATTATATTAAAAAATAATTCAGACCTTTCTGTGTAAACATCGTCCCTTCCAACCAAGCTGTATCATTGATACTGAAGATTAAAGGATGAAAAAGATCTGTTGTGTTTACGAACACAGTTAAACTCACGATCAGACGTTCAGCCTTTCAACATTTAAACTACCTTCTAGAACTTTAATGCAACCAAGGTATACTTATTAAAACTTCTTTTCTGTATCTTCTTTCTAACAATGAGTGTGCACACTCTCTCCGGATCAGCGATGCTGTAGAAAAAGAGTTTTAAACGTACAACTCGAATCATCTCCCAAATCTAGATCACAATCTATACCAAAAAAACGTAAGCGAAGAAGAAAAAAATGATAATTACTTTGGTACTTTTGAGTGAAATAGATCAAACTATCCTTTGGTCCCTGGATAATTAATTAGTGATTTTTTAAAAATCTTATTTATTCACATAAAAACATACGATTTGTAGTGCCGTATCGGATGGGCTGGAAATGGACTGACCTGTGGCATAGACAGGGACAGTGATGGTATCCCTGACAGAAATCTTCATTGCCATGATCGACGGTGTCAGATAGACAACTGCCCGGACACGCCAAACAGTGGTCAAGAGGATGCAGACGGTGATGGTTTAGGCGACGCGTGCGATCCAGATGCCGACAACGATGGTGTACTAAATCCTTCGGACAACTGTCCTTTGGTCTCGAATCCGGGTCAGGAGGATAGTGATCGGGATGGTCCAGATTCAGTTGGAGATGTTTGCGACAATTGTCTGGAGATTAGAAATCCTAAGCAGGAGGATGTGGATGATGACGGCATTGGTGATGCCTGTGACAAAGACATCGATAACGATGGTAATGTATCACATATAGATTCAGTTTTTGGATTCTTAGCGGCCTTTGTGTAAAAGTTTTGTTAAACGATTCTTTCTTCGCAAATTAGTATCTGTGCAGATGAAAAAATTCAATGGGTGATATGATTTTATAGGTATCATGAACCTGCAGGACAACTGTCCGAGAAAGAAGAACTGGGATCAAACAGACACGGACATGGACAGAATAGGCGATGCTTGTGACAACTGTCCATACGATCGTAATACAGACCAATTGGACCGAGATGGCGACGGTGTAGGTGACGTCTGCGATAACGACAATGACAGAGATAGAGACGGGGTGCAAGACAACAGAGATAATTGTCCCGATGTGGCAAATCCAGGACAAAACGACGATGATCGGGATGGCATAGGAAACGAGTGTGACCCTGACATTGATAACGATGGGATACCTAATAATCAGGATAACTGTCCTTACGTCTACAATCCGAATCAACGTTACGCTCACTGTAAGTGTATATGTACACAATAAAAACATACAATAAACTATAACAAAATTTTTGCCATTTATTAGCAAATAAAAATATTGGCGATGCCTGTTGGAACGACAATGACAACGACACCGTGATAAATAGCAACGACAACTGCCCCAACAACAGTTTGATTTGGACAACGGATTTCAGAAAATATACAACAATTGCTTTAGACCCTGTTGGTACTGCTCAGGAGGACCCTCTTTGGAGGATACACAACGAAGGCGCTGAAATCCAGCAGCTCGTGAACAGTGATCCCGGAATTGCTATTGGTAACATTTATTTACATAATAAACTGAATAGACATCACGGCGAGCTCTCTTCAGGTTAAAATACTTAAGATTCAGCAATATGTATTTCTTTAATGTCCATCATTTTCTGCAATAGGCCCAGACGTTTTTAGTGGCGTAGACTTTGAAGGGACGTTTTTCGTTGACGACGACGGAGATGATGACTCTGTTGGCTTCGTTTTTTCTTATCAGAATAACCATAGGTTTTATATCGTGTCTTGGAAGAAAGGACAGCAGCCCTATTGGATGCCAACCCCATTCAGAGCAGTAGGAGATCCAGGGATCTTTCTTAAACTCGTCGACTCGACCACTGGTCCGGGAGAACTTCTCAGAAACAGTCTCTGGCATAACGAGGATACTCCTAGTCAGGTGAAGATCCTTTGGCACGATCCGAAGAAAATTGGCTGGAAAGAGAGAACTCCATACAGGTGGCAACTCTTACATAGACCAAGAATTGGTCTGATCAGGTTCCGACTTTACCAGGGCAAACAATTAATGGCTGATTCTGGAAATGTTTATGACTCGACCTTGAAGGGTGGAAAACTCGGTGTTTATTGCTTTTCACAAGAAAAGATCACTTGGTCGAATCTACTGTACATGTGCAAAGGTGAGAAGAAAGAAACTGATACTTATGAATCTATGTATAAGCAAACTGTTTATGTAAACAATAACGATATTCTGGATATTTAAAGAATTATCCTAGAAATCAAAGTACTTATTAAATAGAAAGATATTTATTTTTTGTATAATTTGTGCTTTCTGAGATATCGGATGTCAAGATCACTTTGAATTTTTTAGATTATTAACTTTTAATTATTCATTAATTATTTTATCATCTCATTTTTAATAAAATAATTTTAATAACTAATGCATAAGTTTTTTTCTTGAAGTAAGTTCTTAGCTTGAAAATCATTTTAAGGTTACATTACACTCGATAGAACAAATTAAATGTGATCGTAATATCTTAGAAAATATAAAGTACAAAAGATAAAAAATTTTCTATTCAATGAGTTCTTTTTAATACAAGCTACTCCGTCCAAAATATTTTTCCTACAAACTAATAAATAGTTATTTTAGACAGCAGTAATTATTCACTCTATACACGTGTACAGTATCAAGCAAAATGGATTTCCCTAAGAAAAATGGCATTAGAGGGGAAGCAGGAATTCTCAAAATCTTAATTTTAATTATATTAGTATTAAAAATGATTTGGAAAAAAAAAATAATATAATTTTTAATTATTAAATATTATAAAAGATGTTATATAATTAAAAGAATATGAATGATAAAATAAATATCAAACGAAATTTTCTTGCATAAACGTTTATACGGAAATGGTGAGCAACCACAGACATACATACAGAATGATTCTCACAATTGAGATGGATTATATTTTAGGAATGGTAAGTAAAATATGAAGACAAAAGTGCATTTGCATTTTCTAGATACATCGTTGCATTTATGAAAAAGGGTAATGCTGTAGAACAGTAGACCCTCTCACATCATTCAACTTTTATCTCTGCACCTTTCTTGTACTATTTACCATCCTCAAAATATAATCAGTCCCAATTAGGAGAATAATCCTGCATATGTAATATATGAGGGCCCCTCCCTTACATTGTTATTTTCCTTGGGACTGTGTTTGGGGAAGGGCGGAGACTCGGGAACTCGGAAGGCAGAATCCGAGGAAATTTATGGAAAGTGCTTGGAATCATAAAAGCCGGGGAATTGCATAGAAAGGGAAAAGGAGTCCTTTTCTTTGGGAAAGCTGACCATGCTCAGTACTGTACGTGTTTAACACATCAACGATACGATAATTGAAACGTTAACCATCTTAAATCTGTAATTTTATTTTCTGTGTATAATTAATTAATAAGTAGTCCATTTTTATTATTGCTTGTGAGTGACCAACCGTAAAAAATAAAGTAGCATTCACACTAATAATAAAAATGAATAATTGATGAATCATCTTCAATTTTATTAATAATAATTATAACTTTTCAGAAACTGTCCCGCAATCAGTTTGGAACGAGTTACCAGCGAATTTGAAGAAAGACGTGGCTGTGGACATAAGTAACGATGTTAGAGCTCACTACGCCACACAATCTAACTATTACAGCTCGCCTTAAATTATTAATATTTTAAGCAATAATTTCGTTAGAATTGTTATAATTTCATCCGATTTTTTGTTTGTTTGCGTGCGAGACTAAAGGACATCTCTACACAAGAACATGACGAAATAAAAAAACTAAACATTTGCTAAAAACGCTTTCACACTTGTTTGTTTATGAAAAATATGTTTCTATGGAGAAATAAAATGATCGCGGAGGAAATTTTCGTCACGTAATAGAAAGTAGCACCACAATTCATCGCATTTATTAATGTATACCCTCGAATACTCTCGGAGTCCTTCTAGGGAAAACGACGGTCTAAATCCAATTGGCTTATTTATTACATTCAAGCAAGTAATTCTACATTGAAATTAGAAGAAATGAAATAAAATTGGCTGTAGTTCCGAATACGACCGGTCGCCGATCAAGATGAAATTTGGAGGGTTGGTTGGGAGCAGGTAGATGACCCCAAATATAAAGTGGTATCTTCGGCTTCCTATTAGTTTCCGAGATATTAATTAAAAATTTTCGTACAATACATAGAATATTTTCTATACAGACGTAACTAACCCAACCGTCTTCGCTGTAGTAAGCTGACATCGTCAAGTGTCGAACAACCGTTCACACTATAGCAATATCGTCTTCCGTTTCTATAGGGTGTACCATGTAAAATCCATTTTTTTAGTTACATTACGTTATGTTTTATATTGTATTACTAATTCTCAAGGAATTAAACACATTTGATTTATACGTAGGTTAGGTTAGGCCAGATAAATTTCCGGCCGCCGGAAGTGGTCGTATCTCTAAAGTTTTGAATAGGACACCCTATAGATAGTCAGGTTGGAACCCCCACTGTGTCAACGGCTGTTCGGCACTTGACGATGTCAGCTTACTACAGCGAAGACGGTTGTGTTAGTTACGTCTGTATAGGAAAAATTCTATGTATTGTACGAAAGTTTTTAATTAATATCTCGGAAACTAATAGGAAGCCGAAGATACCACTTTATATTTGGGATCCCCTCCCCCTTAAAATTTCATCTTGATCGGCGACCGGTCGTATTCGGAACTTCATCCGAAACTTTTACTACTGATGATGGATCGCAGAAAGAAATTGCACCAACCCCATTCAAAACCCCTACAAATCTAAAGCGTCCACGGAAAAGCGAGTGTAGAGTTGCATTGAACTTGTCGCAGTGAAGTTGGCTACAAATTCACTAACACATTCACGCCGCGTCGGTGAGTCTATCTCGCCCATCGTCTCACCGATGCGGCGTGAATGTGTTAATGAATTTGTAGCCAACTTCACTGCGACAAGTTCAATGCAACTCAGGGTACTTACAACAGTACAACAAGCGGTAAAATACATGCAGTCACTGTCTGAAGTAGTTTCTACCAGAGATGAGTATGCAGTATTTGGGGAACACGTAGCTAATAAAATGAGAAATTGTAAAAGGTCTCATTTAGAAATATCTATAGCCCAGCACTACATCCATAACATTCCACTGCGTTTGGAAATGGGAAAGTATTCCGAAGAAATTCAGAAGCCAACTCCTTCGCCACTTCTTTCTCCATTATCGTGCTCCTCAAATTCCCCCAGCCCTTCAGTGTGAAACACACTTCTGCTTCAGACAGTGAATGTACTATTGGTAAAAATATTAATAATAACAGTGAAGATATTCATTCATTAACCAAGATTGTTCTTTTGCAAAATAGTATTTGTGGCCCTGAAAAGGGCCAATTGGTAGGTATTTTTCAACGAATTACTTTTTCGCTGCTGCTCTTGTTTTGGGAGATTTTGCCGTTTTTGGTTTTGGAGTTTTCGTTTTTGCTGCTGGCGCCTTTGTAGCTTTCTTTACTTTTGACAAATTTTTCGGTGATGCTGCTGTTTTCTGTTTCAGAGATTCTGCTTTCTTAACAGCAGCAGTTTTAGCTTTCTTCGGAGATGGTTTCTTGATTTCTGTGGTTTGTTTCGTTTCAGCAGCTGTTTCCTTCGGAACAACCGCTTTCTTAGAACTCGTTGCCTTCTTTTCCGCAGGTTTCTTTTCAACTGCAGCAGATGCGGTCTTTTTCACGGAGCGTTTGGCTTTGCTCTTTGATTCGGAACCCTTCGAAGGTGTGGATAGCTTGAACGAGCCAGAGGCACCTTTTCCCTTGGTTTGCACCACCGCACCGGCAGTTACGGCAGTTTTTAAATATCTCTTAATAAATGGCGCCATTTTTCCACCATCAACTTTATATGTCGTTGCTATGTATTTCTTGATAGCTTGAACTGACGATCCCTTGCGATCTTGCAACGCTTTGATAGCAGCATTCACCATATCTGCAGTTGGTGGATGCGACGATTTAGAACGTTGGGACTTTGCTTTCGATTTTGCAGACTTTTTTGGAAGCGACGGATTTTTCGCGGCATTTTCCACTGCCCCGGTGTTTCCAGAGTGGTTTTTCTCCTCCATCTTTATACAATAACTTGTAAACACAATATACTTTCACGATCCGTTCACAGAGTGCGCGGTCAACTCAGGAATTGAACTACTAGTAGAAGAGGCGCGGACCGCGAAGAGAGACCTTTTGCCTATTTCCCATACTACGTTGCTCAGAATTCCAGACCCGCATAGAAAGATTTGCGATTTATATAGTTATTTGCTCGATTCAAAGCATATATTATATATACAGGGTTTTAATTACTGTTAGTAGTTTGCAACAGTGTCGTTGAATGACGATTTAACATCGATTTTCAGCTATTATATTTGCCTGAAGTGATAAAGTCGTATGGTTGTTGTTACTTAACTCTACACTCATCTTGGAAATTAAGCAAAAAATAGAAGAATATTTAACTCAAAACGATTTTTCATGCTAAAATAAACGTTATAATGTTAAAACTATCAATTTGTGTGTACCAATCGTTAAGGGAGTTTTAATAATATCACAAATTCCAAAAGTTTTACGTGGAAAGTAATACAATCATCAAGAAGACATAACGCAAATGATTGACATTAAAGTTATTTGTACAATACCATTAATTTGATTAAAAAGACTCGATTATGGACGACAATGTAAACGGGAATCTAAAAATGGATTTATTTAATAACTTTCTCTCACATAAATTTGAATACTGCACACTGGTCGAGAAGTTCTAGATTACTATACTTTGGTGCTGTGAAATAATATTGCAGGTTTATAAAAGTGTTTGTACAGTACTGAACGTAATGCAATTTGAATTTTATTTAACATAAATGTTGATATTGTTAAAAAGTCTACTTGTCGCTGACAAAATACAACATTTAAGTGTGAAGTATAATATTACGAAAGTTCGTGTGAGCACAATGAACTACGCCTACCATTACATGGTTATCAAATGCTTCAACGTTCAAAGAAAATAATGTACCATAATATTGTAAAAAAAATAGAACTGAACAACGCGAGAAATTAATAGACTAAATATTTCTAGTGAAAAATAAAATCGGTGATTTCAGAGAGTTATGATGATTCGACAATATTGTTTTGGTGTTCTAGTACCGTAGTAATGAAACCAAATGAATGTATCGTAGTACGAATAATTATAAATCGAATGCAGTGTTAATCGTGTTATAGTTCTTACAATTAGTTCACTTTGACAAGCAACAAGGAAGCACCTCAGTTAGAATTTTAATGGTTTGAGGCGAAGTATTTTCTTTTAGTCTAGAGAAATACATGGGGATTTGTTTTGTAGAAATAAACACTAAAAGTTCGAGCAAAATAAATAAAAAGTTCCAATTCTATTCATTTACATGCTACAATGAATATAGTTCTTGCTTGATAATTCCATGATTCGGCCTCTAGAGGCGAGTCTTTCTAACCTAAAAACGCGAAATTATCGAGCCTCAGTGACGCATGACGTGTGCACATTGCTTACATTTTATTTATTTATGTAATACAGCTACAGCTACTAGTCATACGACGCTCATTTGTTTATGTGACGCAGGTACTCATTCACAACCTATACATTTTGGTAAAGTTCCAAATGTCCCCGGTCGCCGATCAAGATGAAATTTTGAGGGGGAAGGGACCCCAAATATAAAGTGATATCTTCGGCTTCCTATTAGTTTTCGAGATATTAATTAAAAACTTTCGGTACAATACATAGAATTTTTCTTATACAGACGTAACTAACCCAACCGTCTTCGCTTTATATTTGGGGTGGTTTACCTGCTCCCAACCAACCCTCCAAATTTCATGTTGATCCGCGACCGGGGACATTCGGAACTTTATCTTATATGAGAAATACTGGTTTTACTCAAAATAATATAATAGACCTGATTCCATCGGGCCCAAAGACCTGTAGCTTTTTATACACTAAGGACGTGGGTAATAAACCGTACGCAATCCAGGTTTCTTTCGTTCTTAAGTGGACAACGGATTTTCTGCCATGTCCTCACAAGTTTTTCCTCACTTCGAGTTCGATTATCCAAGCGTAAAGACGTCCTTCCGTGCCAAGAAATAAAGCAAAGTTAGAAAAGAATTCATAGTGTTTATTATTTTGTGGCAATTTATTCTAGTTTTTTAACCGACTTCGAAAAAGGAGGAGGTTACTCAATTCGATCAGTATATATATATATAGAACTACGCATTCAAAACATAAATCCTTCGGTTAAGCATAAGATATTAATGTCTAACATAAGTATACAGGGTGTCCCAGAACTGGGGTAGGAACGGAAGAGGGATGATTGGTGAGGTCATTCTAAACAACTTTTTCCTTTGCCAAAATGTTGGTTAAGGCTTCGTTTTCGAGTTATTATCGAAAAACACTGGCCAATCAGAGCGCGCCGTTAGCGCGGGCCGAACCACGCGAGTGTTGAGTATGTTCCGCGCGGTCGTGATCAAGTGCATCGGCACCACGTCGGTGTAATAGGATTCGTTGTTCATGAGTAATCAATAATTCGATACAATTATTCTTTTCTTATTTTTATTCATTATCCGATGCAACTTCTATTCAACGAATCCCATCATACCGACGTAGTGCCGAGGCACCTGATCACGACCGCGCGGAACATACCCAAGACTCTCGTGGTTCGGTCCGCGCTAACGGCGCGCTCTAATTGGCCAGTGTTTTTCGTTAATAACTCGAAAACGAAGCCTTAACCAACATTTTGGCAAAGGAAAAAGTTGTTTAGAATGACCTCACCAATCATCCCTCTTCCGTTCCTACCCCAGTTCTGGGACACCCTGTATAAAATTTCAGGAAGATCGAGTGATTAGATTTTGAGATATTTTGCTCACAGACTTTAAAAATATAGTTTTGAGAAAAACGCGTTTAAAACTGACGAACTCAACAGTATCATGTCGAATGTTGCACTGTTTTGTTTTGTTGCAAGTTTTCTTGAAAGCATTTGTTGTCGGTTATTATTTGTTTGTCATAGAGTAACACTGACAATTATTCATTATTGAGAATTAGAAGCTTTAACGACATGTTTTAGTCATAGTTGACATGTTTAATCGACAGCAACGGTTAAAATACCCTGAGGTGCAAGTATATGTTGAATACCGTCATAGACTAAGCAAATATTTTTACTCTTCGCGTTTCAGTTAAGATAAGGAAACTCTAAATTCTGTCTCCAGCTGCACTATCTTCTATATACAATTACGCATACGACCCTTGAATTCCTTATTCACCATCCCTGAATCATACGCGTGACCCTTCGAACCTCATTAATATCCAAGAATTCCTATTGGTCCTAATCCTCATTTCCACCACTTTCAAAATCAGACTTTCGACTTTTTAAAAACAGTATAAAAACACTTTTCCTTCAGAATCAAAATACGAATCAGAGTCAGAAATAGAGTTGAGTAATCACGTAAGAATTGCTAGCAGTAGAAAATTACTTTAAGTGTCTAATGTAAGAATTGGTATAGTAAGTTTAATAAAATATTTATTAAACATCGGAATCTAAAAGCTTATGTTTAGCTAGGTTGGTCATCCTGTTTTGTAATGTAGGATGTTTACAGGACGTATTTCAGGCATTCGCAGGGCTTATCAAATGTCTGTAAAATATCCTCAACATCTAAAGCAGATATCTTTAGGATGTTTCACCGATGCTTCTGTGCTATCTGGGTTTAGGTTGTCACAGATAATACTTTCTTCAGTATCATTAATAGTATCACTATATTGATGTGTTACTCCGTTTGGAATAAGATGAAAAGTTTTATAAATCTTGTAAATTAAGAAAAAGAAACTACATCATTGATCGTTCCATTGGATGCTACACTATATACAGTGCGCAAGTCAAACTAATCGCGGAGAAGCATTGAAAGTGTAGATTTTAAATTGAAATAACATGATCAAATAGTTTAGCAAATGTTATAATTAGTACGGTTACTTTTGGTAATTATGTTCGACATAATTATGCGAAAACAGCTGTGAGAATTTTTATTAATATCATATATCACGGAGTAAAAATTAAGAAAATGTTAGAAAGGAGGTGGTTTACGTAATAAAAATTGTTGGCCCTTAAAAGGACCGATTGGAGGAACATGTAGCGGCGTTTACTTCGAACTGGTGTATTTAGTAACCGCTTTGGTGCCTTCAGAAACAGCGTGCTTTGCTAATTCACCAGGCAACAAAAGTCTGACAGCAGTTTGGATCTCCCGGGATGTGATGGTCGATCGCTTATTATAATGCGCTAGGCGTGAAGCTTCAGCAGCAATTCGCTCAAATACATCATTCACGAAACTGTTCATGATGCTCATCGCTTTGCTGGAAATTCCAGTATCAGGATGGACTTGCTTCAGCACTTTGTAGATATAGATTGCATAGCTTTCCTTTCTCCTCCTCTTCTTTTTCTTATCAGTCTTGCTGATATTCTTTTGAGCTTTTCCAGCTTTCTTCACAGCTTTTCCGCTTGCTTTAGGAGGCATTTTCACAACGATTTTATACACTGAAACACCCCACGACAGTGAAAATCCACTTCTGAATGTCGGAACCAAGTGAAGGCGCTATATATATGGTGTGAAAGGACAGCCGAGGGCGCACCAATCACGTGCGAGCTGCCGTCTCATTGGTCGACTCGAACCGTAACGGATAGCTATATAAGCGGAGCTCTACCTCCGAAACCATACTTTGCTTTTGAATCTATTGAGGTTCGTTTCGTTTTTTGTTTTCAAAGTCGCTAAAACAATGTCTGGCCGTGGCAAAGGTGGAAAAGCTAAGGGAAAGGCGAAGTCCCGTTCCACTCGGGCAGGACTCCAATTTCCTGTTGGTCGTATTCATAGACTTCTGAGGAAAGGAAATTACGCCGAACGTGTTGGTGCAGGAGCACCAGTATACCTTGCAGCCGTAATGGAATATCTAGCAGCTGAGGTATTAGAGTTAGCTGGCAATGCTGCTCGTGATAATAAAAAGACCAGGATTATTCCTCGACATCTTCAATTGGCCATCCGTAATGATGAAGAATTAAATAAATTACTGTCGGGTGTTACTATCGCTCAAGGTGGTGTATTACCGAACATTCAAGCAGTACTGTTGCCAAAGAAAACCGACAAGAAAACTTAATTCTACAAAGAATTAATCATACAAATGGCCCTTTTCAGGGCCACAAAATATTTTAATACGAAAGAATCTCGATCTGTTCATTGACTTTTTAGTCAACTTGCGAAATAAATTTAAAAAAATAATTTGAAAAAGTAAATTTTATTGTACTTTTAAAGTAGCTCAATATTATATCAGATCACTTAACTTTTATCAATAAAACAATCGTATGTTTCGTGGGTGGCTGAAAATTGAAAAAATACAAGTACTAAAACACCATTCAGTATTGCCTCGAATTAGCAACTCGCTATTTCCTCTTCTTTGTTTGAGGTGGCCCGCCAAGTGAGAGCTCCGTGAAAGCGAGAAGCCAATGTTTTGGGTAATAAATTGTCACGCTTGACTGAGCACTGACATAGGTTAATAAAAGGATGGTATATATATAATGCTTTCTCATTCTGATATATTTACCTCGAAATAAGCGATATAGTGCGAGAATGAGAGGGCATGCTATATTCTATCCTTGTTCAAAAAATAACATCGCTGCTCGGCCGATCACTTTATGATTTGCCGCTACTTCGGATCCCACTTGTTTCTCGTGTTCTCTATCGTCCCGTTTCGAGAACAAAGTCAAGCCGAATAGCATACCTGCTTCGTAATAAGCAACTACTCGGTCCCGAGCGGGTTGCTTATTTCGAGGCAATCCTGTATACCATGCACAAATTCTTGCCGTAGAGAGCCTGTATTCCAAACATCTGACCCAGGTGGTTGATACAGATGTTTTATTTTAAGTAAGAAAGGAACCCATACACTGCACTGTAGGGCCTATAGTCAGCGTACTGTACGGTCGAATTGGAATGGCTGAGCTCCATACTACCTACAATGATAAGTAGGGTGAGAAAGGACGTCAAAATCCTGCCAAGGGAAATACTAGCAGGTATCTCTCTCCCTTTATAAAATTCTGTTGTCCCGTTGGTGTAGTAGCCGCAGGTATAGACGTGTACTACATAACTTCAAATCATGCATACGACTGGAATTTAGTACAGTGAATGCTACTATACCGTATTCCGCGTCAATAAGACGTGTTCGCATTCCAGGTAAGGGTGATTCTCTCGCAACGTTAACCAACGGCGATACTACCTGCTTTTCAGTGAATTTGTAGAAAAGGGACTCCCCTAACTAATTGTGACAAAGTAAGACAGGGATATCGAATATCACTGTGTCTCATGCTGTCGTATTTTGTTTCCGTCCTCGAGCTTTCCCTCAGCGTTCCCTTAAGCCGTGAGGTGTAAGGGAGTTGGGCTTTCTACTGATGCGCGGACAATACATTGAGTCTCATTGAATCTGTCTAGGCGTGTGACTCTAACACATATTCACGCCTGCAGCAATAGGCGAGGGACATGTGAACAGGGGGCTACAGCCAAACGGCTGCCGGCGTGAATATGTGTTAGATTCACACGCCGCGACAGATTCAATGAAATTCACACGATTACGAACGATCAATATATAAGTACTCATAGTTTTTCGCGAATATCTCGGAAACTAAGCGAGTTCGATATATAGGTTAGAGAAAAAAAGTTATTTAAAATGTCGAATTTTACAATTGTCTACTGTTTATTCTGTAGTTTAGAGTTCAGTCGTTGAAACTAATACAGAAAGAAAGATATTCCCGTTGTGGATGACTCCTCACTTCTCACTTGCACATCGCGAAAGGTGGGGAGAATAAGTCTCGGATGGAGGACGAGAAAGACGGCGTCAGGCACGCATACAAGCCCCCCCCTGATACTCACATATCAAAAAGACGGGGAGCGAAGTTGTGATCTTTTTTTCGTCAGGAGATTCTGGCTTTTAAGATACATCCTCAAGTTTGCTTTTATGTACTACAAAAATCTCCGGATTGATAGAAAAAAAAAGAAATGAAAGAAGAAGTAATTTGTGTGCTTTGTTTATTAAGAATTTGCGTATTAAGAAGAAAGTATTCTTCCCTACCTGGGCCACATTGCTAATACAGGCAAGGCAAGAACCCCAAGCATTCAGGCCAGCTACGTGTCTATTCTTTTTTGACAGTTACCGCTTTAGAGAACATAAGAATTTGGAGACTCATTCATGACGGTACGATGCAAACTCGGAATTAGTGTTTCTCATTCTGTGTAAGGTATTGCACATTTCAAACAATTTCAGTTTCTTAGACCGAATAAACTTAACTGGTCTAAACGTATCTTAGTCTTATGGTATGTAGAGGGTGCTAAATATTTTTTTTATAGAAACAAAGTATTCGTGAAATAGAAGAAAAAAGTTCTAATGAACACCTGTCAAACAGTTTGTATATTATAAGTTATAACCAATGTTCTATTTAAATTGCAATACTCTGCAATGCTTTTGGTAATATCGATCATGATTACCACAGCGCCCGTAGCTTGTGCGATTTGCGCAGCGAACTTCTGATTGGGTAGAAGTAAAGTGGAGGGGAAAGTGGAGTTTCCGCTCTATAAAAGAGCCATGTTCTTGTTTTGAAACGTAGTTCCAAACATTTGATCGTCGGGTTACAATCGTTTGCGAGAAAAGTACAACATGACTGGTCGTGGAAAGGGAGGAAAAGGATTGGGAAAAGGGGGAGCAAAGCGTCATAGGAAAGTTCTTCGTGATAACATTCAGGGTATCACGAAGCCGGCCATTCGTCGTCTGGCCCGTCGTGGTGGAGTCAAACGTATTTCTGGCTTGATCTATGAAGAAACGCGAGGCGTTTTGAAGGTATTCTTGGAAAACGTTATCCGAGACGCTGTGACTTACACTGAGCACGCTAAGAGGAAAACTGTTACGGCTATGGACGTTGTCTATGCCTTGAAACGCCAAGGAAGAACCCTTTACGGTTTTGGCGGTTAAATTGTTATTCTACACTTCTGTTCGACAAAAACGGCCCTTTTCAGGGCCACCAAATTTTTCTTACGTATGATCACTGCGTTTATGTTATTTTTCAACAGTCAATTTTGGCATTTTCATACCTTGTGTCACTACTATGGTATATTTCTTTTTATGTACTAAGTGAGTCCATATAAAAAGAAAAATATTCTGCATCGAAAATTTAAATTGATACATAACGTTGCTAACGAAATATGTAGATTTGAAACTAATAATAAATTGAAGTTCACAATTTGACAGTTTTATTTTCTTTACCTGAAAAAATGAACGGTAATATTAAACGTCTGCTGCAAAATGTATCCCAACAACCCCTGTAAACAGGAGTCAAGTTCTTATGGCCGTACAAAGTTGTGAGGTCAAACTAACGATAAATACGGCCAAGTTCGTTAGCTTAGAAATACCTCTTGCAATACTAAAAAAAGCTTTTGTGAAAATTAGGTTAAAAGAACGCTATTTAATTTTTGAAGAGTCACATGGAGGGATAAATTATTCAAACTTGGCCGTTACTTTTTAAATCAATGACCATAAAAGGTGTTAGGTAACATAGCATTTAACAAGTATACGAAATTACATCTCTCCATCTGCCTCCAGTGCCGAGCTATAAGCCTCTTAAAAACGGCTAAGTTGTTTCGTGTAAAAGGAGGTACATAGTGCGAGAACTTGGCTGGTGCACTATCGTGCACTTAGATAATGATGAAATTGCAATTGATATGTAAGTACACCGAAGAAAAATATAAGATAACGATTTATGGTTATGCATTAGTGCAGTGGTTCCCAAACTTTTTTTACTGCAAAAATTATGCAACATTTTATATTGTTTTTATTTTAATGATTTATATTGAGAATTGAGTATTTCATATTTTACTCATTTTTTATATAATTTGAATTATTTCGCGACGCACCCAAATACACTTCGCGGCGCACGGCGAGGGAACCACTGCATTACTGTGTAACATTGTACGAATTCAAGATAATTTTTTTACTTTTTAATACTGTATGTAATACGGCAGGCCTGGTCAAGTGGGGGAAAACCACTCCTGAAACACATGTTCCGGTTCCCCTTCCAACGCTGCTCCTTCAAGTAAGATGGGACGGTTCCGACTAAGGATGTTCAATTCACCGGAAAGAATCGATTCTCGAATCGCTTCTGAATCGGAATGAGAGAATCGATTCCTTTAAAAAAACGAAACCGAAGAATCGGTTTGAAAAAAATTGACTTCTTATGTTTCTTTTTTTATTTTCATTTTTGTAAACAGACTATCCCATACGATTCTTTTGTGCGGCATCGATCTTTTATTTTTTTATATTTCGTGCTCTTACATCAAAAGCAGGCACTCCACATTGTTTGTATTTTAATCACTATTCTTATACTTTTTTTAGGAGTGAATGTGTTTTTATGGATCAGAAAAATCGATTCTTCTAAAAATCGATATAAAAAGTGAGAATTAATTCCCTAGAGGGCAAAAAATCAATCTTCGATTCTTACATGAAAGAATCGATTCTGGGGAAAATCG